GCTAAGTCTCTTAGCCTGAGATACAGGGCTGCTCAAATATTCTGACAGCTCTGTGTTCTGCTAGGCTCTGGAAAGCTCATGGGATCTCCCTGTGCTATCAAAGGTCCTGTTTCTGACACACTTAAAACCCTTTTCTTGGTTCTTATCAGTACAGCAACATTATTTTCTTCCTCCAAGCCCAGGATCTTACTTCCTGTTGACAGCGATATTATTTCCTTCCTCCAAGCCCAGGATCCCACCCCCTGATGATTTCTCTCAGCTTCTGGACTGTTTCCTAAGGGATTCATTCTCCTGGAGTCCCTCAGGACTTTCACCCACAATATTGGATTTGACTGTTATTGTCATGGGTGTCTTCTGTACTTGTCCCTCCTGCCAGACATTTCTTCTCAATTCAAGGCAAGTGTTCCAATCTACCCGTTAGATGTTTCTTTGAGCATCCTGACATCCCTGCTGCATCAATGAATTGATACTCTCTTCCAGCCAGCCAGTGTCTCCTTTGACAGCTGTTTCTGGCTAGAGTTCCCAGTGTTTCCTCAGTATCAAAACTCTAAACCAACCTAGATTCTTCCTTCTCCTTACCCCCACTAGTTTCTAGCACACCGACTTCTGTCAGGGACACAAACAAGACACAGGTTGATTGGAATCCCATCACAGGGCTTTGAGGACCCACTCTGCCTTTCTAGCCTTCTGCTTCTTTGCTTTCCACCCACCCTAGCCGTCAACTCAAGTAGATGACCCACCTTTCCTGCAAGAGCCCTTTGGTCCATTTTGGCTAGGTCCTGTCCTTTGACTGTATGTTCCGATCCTACCCCGTGAAGATTGCTGGACTGAATATGTTGGGCAATGTGAGGTGCAGACAAGTGGAGAACCCCCAATCCTTGCCTGTAGGAATGTCAAGAGTGATCAGGTCACCACAGAGAGGAGGCCTCCCCACAAGAGCTCCTCCGTTTTTTGGTTTCATTTCCAAACTTGAAGGGGTAACCTCTAAACTGGTTATACAGATGTGGCCCCGGTGGGATTACCACTTGCAAGCAGACTCAGGTTTGTAGACCACCTCAGTAGGAGGCAGACATCTTCTTGAACGTCCCTCTGGCTCTTCACATTCCCCACGCTCACCATTCTACTCTTCTTCCTGCACCGTGAGGTTTTTCGGCCAAACACTGGCTAACTGTGGACAAATATGCATCGCCATGATTGCTCTTTATAGATCAGGTGGTGAGATTTAGCTTTAGGATTTTCCAGCTCAGTGCTCAGTGAGGACACCTCTGTATGTGAGGAGATAGAAGGCCACCCACTCCCCTGAGACTTAGCCATGGCCAGGGCAACCTCAGTTTCAGGCTGAACCTGACCTAGATCATCACAGACCCAGTGTTCATTTGAGTCTCTGGTCCTGGCCACAGTCTCCATCTCTACCTCTCACCCTTACATCTAGGAGCGGGCTTCTAATCCACTTAGTTGGTTTTCCCACATTTCTCTTACTCCAGTGGCCACAAGCCATTATGTGTGTGTGAAAGTGTACATTGGTTCATACATACACATGAGTGTGCAGGTGCGTGTATGTATGTACATGTGGATGCCAGAGGTCTATTTGAGATGTCTTCCTCAATTTGTGTCTGCCTTATTTTTGAGACAGGATCTCTCACTGAATGTGGAACTCACTGGTGTGCCTAGACCAGCTGGATAGTGAACTTCAGAGATCTGCCTCTGTCTCTATAGTGCTGAGATTAGTGATATGTGCGGATATGCCCAGCTTTTCCCATGGGTGCCAGGGATCTGAAGGAAAGGGCTTCATGATTGTACACTTTACGTGCTCAGGCACTTTACCAGCTGGGCCATCTCCAGCCCCCCTAAACTATTGTTTATACTGTAACTTACAAGGATCTTTAACAAAATTCAATAAGATTACACCATTTATTTTGAAAAAAAATCTACAAATACATTTCAATGATTTTGTACTGCTTTGGGGACCTCAGAGAGCCATGGCTATGATGAGATCCTTCATGATGTGGCTCCTGGCTGCCTTTCTGCCTCACCAGGCACCATCTTCTGTCTTATCTATTCCATCTGAACATTTTCCTTCTTCCATGTCATTGACTGAGTCAAGCTGCTTCCTTCCTCGAGGCCTTTATGAAGGCTCCTTTTCCTGATGGATCTCTTCTTTCTTGTTCTTCCCAATCTCTGACCTCCAGCCTCTGCCCTTCACTTAAAGCTCAATACACGAGTGCCACGCCCATTTCAATTTCCCAGACCCAGCTGGGAATCACTACTGTGAGCTCCTGAAGTTCCCACGCCTCTTCCTCATCTCAGCATCCTATGAGTAGTTAATTTGTTTGATTATTTAGTTACTGTCTTTCTTGCAAGGTTATGAGCTCTGTGATGATAGGAACTACTCTTGCTTCTCTGGCCTTCAAAGCAATGATGGGCACATGGTAGCCATTCATGACTATTCCTTAAATAACCGAATGAGTTGAGATTTTGCTTTGGCAATCCACTTGGCATCCCACACCTTCTAGAGATGTGACCCCCATCTCACTTTTGACATTCTTCCCACCATCAGGACGGATAAAAGATCTCTGCGTTTCCCCTTGATCATAGGACCCTTCTCCCTACCCTCAGACTTGGCAAACACTGCCCCTTTGTTTTCATTTGTGGGTCCCAGGTCCCACACTCCTGGGCTGCCCTACCCAAACTGTGCTGAGGACCAGTGTCTGACACTGTAAGGTGGTCTGTAGGAACTCTTGGCCTTGTTTAGGTAGACAATGCAGCACTGTCCGAGGTGGCTCACACCTGTAATCCCAGCTCTTGGGACTACAGCACAAGAGGATTGCCGCCAGTGTGAGGCCAGCCTAGGCTATATCATGAGACTCTGTCAGAAAGTAAAATCCAACCTGGACCTCAGTCTAGGCTAAGTAAACACAACACAAAGGCAGCAATCTTTGTGAACCTTTACCATTGATGTATGCAGTTACATTTTATTATTGCTTCAAACTATTGTTTTAAGAACAGAAAGAAAATCCAAATCACATTATAATAAAGAAAATGAGCAGTACAGAAAAAAAAAAATAATACAGAAGGGAAAGAGAAAGCCCGAGACTCTCTTTAAATTAAGTATTGTATTTACTGGAATAGAAACTAATTTTGTCGGAATCAGTTCAATAAGTATCATCCACAGCGGAGGCAAAATAACATTAGTGTTCACACTTCCTGGGGAAAGTGAGGACAGCGCTCAGGATCCTGTCCTCTCACGAGGCACACTGGGAGCGGGTCACACTTTGCAATTCTGTTTCACAGACCTCCCGTGGAGCCGGATGGAGAAATCCATGCTGTTTCCCTAAAATGTTCGAAACACAATTGATTGTATCTTAAAATAGGACCACAGCCCAGCACTGGAAACAGTCATGGAAAAATGGTGTCTCAGAGGCTTTGTGTCTCTCAGTTAACAAAGAATCAACAGTGACAGGAACTCTTTGGAAGCCTCAGTTTCTCTGTTTGCATTCATAGTTAAAAATAGCTATCTTCGTGGCTGGATTTCCCCTACTCTTGTCATGGGAAATGGCTTGAAAGCTGCTTGGTAACCCGCAGAGGGTCCCAGCTCCTCCAGAGGTGGTGTCCCTTCTCACCCACAACACACCCTCATGACGGTTATTGCAAAGAATTTCAGACCTAGTTCTGTTTTAGTTTCTTTAAGCTGCTACGAAGTGTCCCCAGGGAATTGACCCATTCTCTCTGTTAGTCAGCTCTCTGGTACCATAGAGGACTGGTACTCTTTCTGTTAGTCAGCTCTCTGGTACCATAGTGGATGCAATGGACGGGTACTCTTTCTGTTAGTCAGTTCTTTGGTACTGTAGCAAATACCCAGGGTCATCAATTTACAAAAAAAGAGGTTTGCTTTGAATCAGAATTGGTTAGTTTGTTGTGCTTTTGATTTGTGGCAAAGCAGCATGTCATAGCAGGAATGTATCTTGGAGCAAAATCAGGGACTCAAGATTTTGCCCTTTGAATGGATAGTTAAGATCCAAATATAGCTTCTCCAAAAATGAATAGGGAAGCCCAGGAAGTCCTTGCAAGGAAGTCCTGAGGCTCAGTTTGAAGAGGTTTGTTTACACACACACACACACACACACACACACACACACACACACACACACACACACACACACAGGAGCTACTCTGTTTCTCCAAATTTGAACCCATCTTTCTTACACTAAGAAGAGTTTCCCCCATCTTTATCTTCCTCCTGCCCTCTAGCTTAAAGAATAAGATTGAGTTCATGTCTGAATCGATTTCAATTCTAGGATAAAGATGTAGGAACAATTATGACTGACAGTGGAGTTCAAGTGTTGAGAAGTGACATGAAGACAGATTCAGGGAAGAACGGAGAATTGAAGTTCCCTAACAGCGACAGGAATCCTGCAAAGGGGAATGGGTTTTCTGAGGGGTGCTTGAACCAACCCAATTCATTCTCAAGGAGAAGGGAGACACACAGAATTGGGGGAGTACAATGCACAGCACAAAAGCAGAATTCTTCCTGAGCACTTCCTCCTGGAGTAAGGACCTTCATCACCACTGGCAACTGCCTGGGGAGAATTTCTTTATGTGGTGTCTTTATATGGACACATGCGGAAGGCTTTAGAAGTGCCACATATCACTGTTTTAAGGGGCTTAATGCACTGTCTGCTGTGCCCCCAGACTTTGGCGCAAGTGCTTGTCAACCTGATCCATCTGAAATCACCCAAAACACAAGCTGCTGGGAACTCTGGAGAGAAATTTTTTTAACTAGGTTATCTGAAGCAGGAAGGCCACCCTGAAGGTGGGAGGTACCTTCTACTACCTTTCTAAATAGAAAGACATGCATGAATGAAGGAAGCTTTGCTCTTGGTCTTCTGTTTTCTGTCTACTGGCCCTTACCCTCACTGGCAAATTCACCTGTCCTGTTGCTGTGGAACTTTTTCACTAATACTAGAACCCTTTTTTTTTTTTTGGTGGTGGTGGCGGGGGGAGGGAGCTGCTAAAATAAACTGAAGCCCAGCAACTCTCCAGGAACCTTCCAGGCCTTTCGTGCCAGATTAGGACTGAAGCACCCAGCTTCACGGACTGAGCAGATGATTACTGGTCTTTCTAGCCTGAGACAGCCATTGTTGAACTACGCAGACCATATCTTGTAAGTCAATCTAATCAATTCCTCATATATATTTTATATTACATCACTTCTTTCTCCTTAGGAAACCCTGACTAATACAGGACTCGATTTCTGATTTGCACTGTAATATACAAAAGTGTTCCTTTGTTCTTCATGGTTGTCGGGGACCAGGGACCACCCACCAGGAAAGCATCTTTCTGAAGATGCTGTAGTACTAGTCAGAAAAAAAGTAAATCTGAGGAATTTGGCAGAAGTCTAAAGAAATTCAGCAATTTGATGGCTGTAGGGAAGAAATTAAAATATGACATCAAACAAATGCATAAAAAAGAATAATCAATGAAAGGAAATTCAGATCAATTTCTAGGCGACAAAGAGTGATAGAGCCTGAATAACAAAGCCTGAAGACAGTTCTCAAGGTAAGAAATAGAATCAAAAAAAGGAAGAAGACTTCTCTTCACAGGGACATGGGAACAGTGGGGCAGGTGGGTAAAGGTAAAAAGAAAGAAGCAGAAATGTTAGAGAAGAAAGGATGGATGAGGGAAAGTGGTTCAATAAGATACACATCGAACAAGAACAGAGGAACCACTCAAGAGCATTTAGACAGGATCCATGAGTCCCTACCATCACTGAGGTGGAACACGTGATAGACCTAGGGGGCTGTGTCTTGAGATGGATTGTGGCTGGGATGTGAAGCATGAGAGGCTCTGTGGGCTGTTGGCCCGTTCAGTTCATTCAAACACTCATTTTCATTTTTTTTTAAATTAGCATTCAAGGCAGAGATTAAAGAAGGTAGCCTGCTTGCCTGGAAGTAAGAGCCAAGCCCAGAAAGTCTAGGGACCAAAGGGTTAACTGGGGTTGTTACGGGCTGAGTAGACTTGCAGCAATTCAATTGTGGCAAAAGTCATGCAGAGGCCAGAGAACAGAAATAGAGATGGAACGCACAGAGCCCAAGGCAAGCGCAAAAGCCTTTTTCATTTCTGCTCTCTATAGGTAGGGGTGGGCTGCAGCACATGCCAGAAGGAGCAGACAGGGTGGGGGACCAGCGAATGAGCCGGCTGGAGATGGGTCCAGCTGCTCTGCTTTATCCCACACCAGACTTTTAGGCATCTATTTCTTCCTTCCAGGACCTCCATTTTCTCACCAGGGAAATAGGCTTAACCACATCCTCCCTAGTGTCTCAGACAGGCTGGCCTATTATAAATACTTTGACATGGTGAGCCTGTGAACCCATGCACATTATGGGGTGTATTTTGATTGGAAAGGTGATACCTTTGTTTTTGGAACCCTTCTAGTCTCCACAGAGGACTGTTTATTTCTTTGGAATTAGTCCTCTCTGTGCCCCAGAACATTGGATTTTATCTCTAGTAAGTAGCAACGATTGAATAGATAAAAAATCAATAGATATGTATGACAAGTCTACCATATGCCAGGCACTGTGCTAGGCATTTACTCTCAAAGATGCCTTGAATAACACTTTCATCTTGTTGGAGTTCATAGTCTAGAAAGGAAGAAATAATTGGTAGAGAGTGATGTCTTGGTATAGAAATCCTAATAGAGTGTGGTAGAAAGATGGGGGCGGGGGAGGACGAACAGAACCCCAGGGCACATCTGCTCCAGGATCAGTAAAAGATGGTCCCTAAGAGAGGGTGAGAGAAGACTGTTTGCTGTGGCAGAGCCTTAGCTTGTCAAGGCACGTGGGGGCACTTTGCAAGTTAGGAAACAGAGAGAGAGAGAGAGCTACTGTGGGTGAAGCCTGAGTTAAGGACAGAATGGGGAAAGATAAGGATGACACATGATGTGTTGTTAGATGTCAAAACCATTAGAGGAATTTGGGACATGGGAAAGCACTGGGGTTTGAACATATTATAGCTTTCCTGGGATAAACTGCACTTAGTCACGATGCCTTGTCCCCTTTCTATATTGTTAGAGTGGGCTTGCTAATTTGGTAATGGTTTTGTGGGTTTCTTTACTGTAATGTTATGGTCTGTTCGGGGTATTCAGATAGTGCCCGCCCTGTGGAATAAGTTGGAAATGTCCTTCCCAGGTATTAGTTTTTTTATGCGATTGCTTGGAACAGATTAACACAAATTTAGTGGCTTCAAGCAATGAAAACATGGTAGATGTGCTGGTGTGTGTCTATAATCTAGCACTGGGGAGGCTAAGCAAGGAGGACAGCTAGTTCTGGGCCAGCCTGGGCTATTTTCTGAGTGCAGTCCAGACTATAGTGAGCTTGAGTTCTGACTGGAATTGGTGAGACATTGCCTCAAAAATTCAAACCCCAAACCACCAGCACCAGCATCAGAACCAACACCATCACCATCACCAGCACCAACACCTCCAGGCCCACCTTCAGCCTCCAGCACCAGCCCCAGAACCACCAGCACCACCAGCACCACCAGTACCAGTACCAGCATCCACACCACCAACACCAGTACCAGAACCACCAGTGCCACCACCAGAACCACCAGCACCAGCACCAACACCAACACCAACAGCTCCAGCCTCACCTTCCGCCACCAGCCCCAGCCCCAGAACCACCAGCACCACCAGTACCAGTACCAGTACCAGCATCCACACCACCAACACCAGTACCAGAACCACCAGTGCCACCACCAGAACCGCCAGCACAAGCACCTCCAGCACCACCACTTTCTGAAACAGTAAAAACTAAAAATGTGTTATCTCGAAGTTCTTGGGGTCCAGAGTTCAAAGTGATTTCTACTGAGTGAAATGGTGTTAGCGGGGCAGAGGTCCTTCTAGAGGCTCTAGGAAGAATTCATCTCCTCATTTCCTCCAGCTTCTAAAGGCAGCCTCAGTTCTTCCACTTCTGGTCCAGCCCTCCATCTTCCTAGTCATGAGAGGCAGTGGCATGGTTCTCTCAGTATCTCATGCCTTCTCCTCTCCACTTCCCTCCTTCAGTTAGGTAGACCCCGTCATCCAGTCCAGCTGGCTAACACAGGACACGTGCAAACTTCCTGTTCCCACGCAAGGAAACACATCCATAACTTCCAGGGATCACACCATGGGCATCCAGAAGAGACCATTATTTTGCCGCTATAGTAATTTTCAATTTTTGAAAGGGTTTGTATTGTATAGAACTGGCAGCATTAGCCAGTGAAGTTACTGGGCCTGGAGTTTTCTTTCTGGGAAGTTTTGTTTCAACTGTGATTTCTTCAGTAGCTATAAGATTGAAAAAAATCTTTAATTTGAGACAGGGTCTTGTTAAATTGTCCAAGCCATCCTCGAATTTGCTATCCTTCTTCCTCAGCCTCCTGATTAGCTAGAATTATATGTATGCACTGTCATACTCAGCTGTATTTTAAAAACGCATCCATGCCTTTCTTTCCCAGGCTCATGATTGCTCTTACCTATTTTTACCAGGTGGGGGGGTATAATTATCATAGGAGTATCATTGTGCTAGTTTAATAATTTTACCATTCACACCATTTCCAGGTCTGTCTCTGTTGATGGATGTTCCCTTGTGGATCATCTTTTTCAGTTTGAATGTCTGATAACTTTTCACTGGATGTTGAACACGTTGCACTTCAGGCTCTTGGGTGGGTGCTGAAGCTTTGTGCTTCTTTAAATGTTTCTGTGCTATGTTCTAAGTAACAGTTACGGATCAAATAGTGTGATTCTTTTTTTTTTTTTTTTTTTTTTTTTTGAGACAAGGTTTCTCTGTGTAGCTTTGGAGCCTGTCCTGGAACTCACTCTGTAGCCCAGGCTGGCCTCGAACTCACAGATATCCACCTGGCTCTGGCTCTGCCTCCGCCTCCCGAGTGCTGGTATTAAAGGCAGGCGCTACCGCCATCACCCAGCTAGTGTGATTTTTTTTTTTTTTGAGGCTTACTTTTGAATTTGGTTGAGACCAGTCAACATTTTACATAGAGCCAATTTGGCAATGTTCTCTTAAATAGCGTTCCTTACACTCCATGCTCAGTAGGGTTCTCTGCTCTAACTGTTTGGAATATAGATGAGTCCCAGCCCTGGGGGAGCTTCAGGAATTTTTTACCCTGCTTGGGCCTTTCTCCCGCCTCAGGTAGTTTTCTCACACATAAGTGCTAACAGCACAGGTGGTCCTCTGTATCCTTCGGTTCCATGTCTGCAGATTGATTCATCCTCGTATGGAGCATATTCTTAAAAAGCTGTGTTTATGTTAAATTTTGTCATGACCTTTATGCTCCCCTCTTATTACTCCCTGAACAATTCAACATAACAAGGATTCACACAGCATTTGCACTGTAGTATGTATAAGTAGCCTATTAATGAGTTAAGTGTATCAGAACATGTGTGAACTATGCTGTTTTACACAGTGGACTTCGGTATCCTTAGATGTTGGTGTTTGTGGGATTTCCTGGAACCAATTTACTGTGGAGATCATGGAGCAACTGTATTCAGTCACCTATACAAGAGAAGTCCTTTGTCGATCTCCACAGATCTCTCACTGAGCAGGTAAGTTCTGTTAGTCAACTATCCCTTATAACACAAAAACTTGAGATAAACAACTTATGATGAGGGAGGGTTCACTTTCACTCAGTGGTTCAGAGGTTTAGTCCATGGTCTTTGGTTCCATTGCTTTTGGGCCTGGAGCAAGGCAGACCGTCATGGGGTCGGGGGACTGTTATTGAGTAAAGCCACTCCGCTCACGGTGGCCAGGAAGTGGAGAGAAAAGGATCAAGAGTTTGAGTGAGACCTCAGCATCTCCTTGGTAAATACAGGCCTTGGAGGAACATTCTAGACACAAACTCTACCGCCTGTTCTCTCTGATAGTTGGCTCAGTGAAATCTAGCTGCTTTGGGCTTCCTAAACACACAGTTCCGTATCTTCAGTTCAGGTAAATCCCTTAACCTGGGAAATCTCCTTTTCTGTTGTAAGTCCAGCAAACTTTCCAGCCCTGGATCTGAGACATATTTAGTGACCACTTATTTTGTTCTTCTTGTTCTTTTTTAATTGTATGATGCCTGAAACATTTTTTCAACAAACTGTTTAGTTTTGTTGTTTCATGAGGGTGGGGTTTTGGGTCATCCTTAGTCCACTTTGTTGGAAGTAGAAGCTGATATAAAGCATCTAAAGGTGAGATTACTTAAATGCCTCATTTAAAAATACCTCAGATTCAAAAGAACAATGCCGAGGCTGTAAGGAATGAACCTATGCAGGCCTGGAGTAGGTCGGGAACACTGAAGTACCTTTAACGTGCCTAAACTCTGCAAGGTCTGCTCCATGGTCTGCATGGTCTGACACCTGCTGCATGTCAGAAGTGCACACTGGGCCTGCTGAAAGCTGCCGGAGAGCTGGACAGGGGAGTTTTAGCGACACCAGGAGCTGCAACACTGATCTCACCCAGAGTTGTAGGGAAGCAAGTGCTCATGGGGCCCTGGCCGTGGTGCGTCTGCCTGGTGTCTGTGAGGACCGCTTCTGCCCAGGTTTCCAGGGCAACAGGCCTGAGTCCAGGAGGCCCCTTTGCACCTAAACATTAACTCATGACTGAGACTGGAAGCCATTTTGCCAGGGCTCATGTATGCCTCTTAGGATGATGCTTAATTCTGTAGCGAGATGGCTTTCTTTCCTCGGGATAACTCGGATCTTTCTGGCATGGAGAGACTCTGGAGATGGGGGATAGGGGCCAGGAAGCTCCCTGTGCTGCACAGAGACTGAAAGTCCAGTGGGCTCAGTGTCCCTGGTGACTGCCCTCAGGGGAAAAGGATGGAAATGGTTATCAGGAAGTGAAGCTCTCCCCGGCCTGGGATCCTTATTTTAAGAGTCTGGCCAAATGGCCCGAAAGATCTTAACCTGTTTCTCCTTGGACCTCCTGTCATCTCCTTTGTGGTCTCATTTTACCGAGGCAGCCTGTAGTAGCTAACTGGAAGATGTAGCAAGGCTGGCCCTGCTGCACCTGCCAGGCAAGCTCTCACATCCCTGAGTGACCATGAAGGTCTTTGTGTCATGGCAAACTGTAATTGCTTCTATAACAATGACAGATTGTCACAGCGATGACAGACTCCAGGTGCCATCTCTGTGAACATGACATGGAATGATATGGGCACAGATGTATCCAATACTTCTGCTCAATTGACTTTGATGGCAAATATAGGTCAGGACACACAATAGGCATGCAGTCAGTACTCACTGAATGCATAAGCAGAGAGTTTCATAATTGCCATGGCCTGGGAGAGGACTGCATTCACAGAGGCTGATGTTCGTGTACCAACAACATACCATACAAAATTGAAAATGCTTCACGTGCCACAGTGAGTTTTCCAATCTGGGGAGAATTACTCTACAAAGAACAAAGTTGTGAAGTTGTCAATTGTCCCAGCTCCCAAGTTATAGGAACAAGGGGTTTCTTAGTCCTAGCTTTGTCTTTCACAGTGGCCCTCTGAAGCAATGTTTGTTTTTCTGTTTATGGCGTGTTTTCTGCACTCATGAATCTCACCTCCCCAAGGAAAAAGTCAGATACTTGCATTTTACCTTCTGGACATATCCATAGATTCAAGTTCTACCAATTACATGCATTGATGGGAGAGTTTTGTGGGAACAAAAATGAGGAGGAAATAAGGACCAGAGATCATTTTCTGGTCAATCAGCATGACTTCTGAGCAACGGAGGCAGAATTTTAGGCTTCCAGAACTCAGCATCAGTGGTCTGGTGTGGTCCAAGAGTCATCCCCTGGCCTTCTGGGTGATTTTATGAGCCAATTATATATTTCAATAATTTGTTTTTCTTCCCTGACTACAGTAGCCAGAACATTCTGCCCTGCAGAACTGAGAACCTGACAGATACAGCTTTGAACAATTAGTTAAGGGCTAATGCTTCCTGTGGCTATTGGCTGCAAATCGAACTCATTTCTACTCTGACGGAAAGTGAGATTTCTGAGGAATAGCTAGGTCAGAATGAGCAAGCAGGTCCCAAACCGGCTGGTGGGAGTGAGTGGGACTCTGACTCCTAAGAATCTCCTTTGCAGTGTCTGAACTCTGGTCTCTGGAAATCTGTCCCGTTAGCTTGTTCCTTGGTCCATGTCACCTCTCTCTCCTCCCCACCTAAGGACACGTGTTGCTGAGGCCAGAGATGTGTGATCTCCTAAGACCTTTTTTGGTCTTATCTCACAGTCAGCAACTTGCAGAATTTTACTCACCACTATTGTGTGAATCGTTTGCCTCTTCTCCTTCCCCACAGTTGCTGTCCTGGCGTTATAGTTCTCTCTCTGGTTCAGTTCCCTGCCCTCAGCCCCAACAGATTTTGGGCCATTTCCCAGGTTCCAAATTTCATCATGTCCTTTCCTTATTTGAATAAGAATGGTCCATGTGTTTGAATACTTGGCCCCAGTATACTTTAATATTTGGTCCCCTGTTGTTGAAACTGTTTGGGAAGGATTAGGAGGTGTGGTCTTGTTGGAGGAGGTGTATCCCTGAGGGTGGGCTGTGAGGTTTCAAAAGGCCATACCATTACCAGTTAGCTCTCTCTCTCTCTCTCTCTCTCTCTCTCTCTCTCTCTCTCTCTCTCTACCTCTACCTCTACCTCTCCCTCCCTCCCTCCCTCCCTCCCTGGTGCTTGTGGATGATCAGGGTGTGCCATGTCTGCCTGCCTACTGCTGTGTTCCCCACCATGATGGTCATGGATTCACTCTCTGAAACTGTAAGCCTCAGTAAACTCTTTCTTCTACAAGTTGCTTTGGTTGTGGTGTCTTAGAACAGCAACAGAAAAGTAACTAAGACACCCCTCTAGGATGAAATCAATCCACAGCAAGTGAATGCCCAAGTTGCATTGTGGTCTTGACACCATGAATGTTTCCAACCAAATTCCCACTCGCTCCTCATTTCCTGTGTCCTGCCTGCCACCCACCAGCCTCCAAACACCAGGATCGCATCACTGCCTCATGGAATGTACAACCGTCTCATCTTGAAAGGTCCTGTGTGACATCATGCATTTGACACACACCTACTCATTCTTCAAGATTTTGTGAGAATGCCTCCAGCTCTGGGGAAATGCGTTTCCATTTCCAGCCAAGTGTGGCACTTCTCATTGTGTTTCCAATGTGCCTTTCTATACTACTGCACCCCCATGTTGCCGTGGTTGTCATTTACACACGTGTCTTCTTAGTGGAGGTAGAGCATGTGTGAGAGAGAGCAAGCATCCCCTTACCCTTTGTATCCCTAGGACTAAGAGCAGTGCCTGACACTTGGGCTCTCTACAGGTGTTTATGAAATTAAGTAATCTGCAACAGAAACAACAGCAAGAGACAACCATGAAAACATTAGTAACTTTCATTCCCCTAATGGTAGCTGTTATTAAAGATTTATTATTTACAGAGATGTTTGTCTGCATGTGTCTGTGTGTACCACATGCATGCCTGGCACCCAAGGAAGCCAGAAGAGGGCATCAGATCCCTTAGAAGTGGCATTTTTTATTAGCTGACATTTTTATTAGCTGTCATGTATGTGTTGAGAACTGAACCCAGGCAAGTGTTCTTAACCCTGGATCCACTTCTGTTGCCCCTAGAAACAGTTACTAAAGTCACACTATTATCCATAGCTGTCCGTTCTCTCATGGGCCACCAGAAGAAAATCTTCCTACACCGGCAGTTAGAGGCAGACCCAGAGAGGGAAAGGAAGCACCTGCTGCTTTACACACTCCTAACTTCCTGGACTAGCAATTTACACAGAGCTCACTAATAGTTAGGGAGTCGCTAATAGCCCAGTGTTGGCATCTAAGAAAACGATGCTTTGCCTCTTTTCCCACACAAGCAATGATTTTTAAGTTGAGGATGTTCAAACTGGCTGGAAATGGAGAGAGGCATTTCAGACAGCACATGTATTTAAAAGGTACCGCTCCTTGTGGGCAGCCTTCATTTCTATCATTAACTAGGATGGCAACCCCTGCCAGCCAAAGCAGAGACACAGAGCTGAAGGCAGGCCTACTTTCATGCACGCACACCAATTTCTTATAGGAAAGGAAATTATGCTTGGAAAGCAAACAAATTTAGAAGGAAGCAGGTAATCATTCACATTGCAAAAAAAAAAAAAATACCCTTCGCTGTACAAAAGGAGCTCCCACAGGGCACTTTTAAATGGGAAATGCCTTGGGAGCGCTTAAAATACCATTGAGTTTATAAGGAATCGATTAAGAACTAATTCTTGGAGAAACCAATCTATTGCACAATGGGGGCACCTTCCTGTCTTTGCTTTGTTCTCAACTTTTTTGTTGTTGTTAGGAACGTCTACAGAGTAATAACGTGCAAAAAAAAAATAAGTGCGTAGTTAGGGTCAGGAGATTGGGGTTTGAACTGGTTTTTGGCCTGCCGGCTGAGCCCAGGCAAACATCATCCTGTGTTCATAGATGGAACTGGGGCCAGCAATCTTAAGAGTAAGAAGCAGAAATTGGAATGAGTGTGCAGTGGCCCATAACACAGGTGATTATTCACACACATACTCATTTTCTAGGACTGCCATAACAAA